CTTAGAGTATCTTCAAAAGACTCTATTTTTAAAGAGCATATTCTATCATTTGGAGAGTATCTATAAATTTAGAGAGTTAAAATTTTGAAATACTCCAACAAACTCTTTATATTTAACACTTAATTTTACTACTCCCAAAAAATATTTATTATTTTTTTATCTTTTATTTTAACTGACTTTTCTTTATACTATTTTATTGTTTTCCTACATCAAAAATTGAAACACTCTAAATTAAAATGTTAATTTAAAGAGTCTTTTGAAGTATGATTTCAAATGTTGACTCTTTAAAATAGAGAGTATCTCATATTTAAAGAGTTTCTTGGAGATACTCTAAGATTTTCTTTATTTTAAATATTATTTTAGTAATTCTAAGACCATTAATATATATTTTAACTATTCCATTAACAATTATACCTTTATTAATTAACTATTTGACCATTTTTCCAAAAAAAAAAAAAAATTTTCCGGCCTATTTAACCATATTATTTAACCTATTGTTGCCTAAGCTCACATTAGCACATCAAATATACCACATAGTAAAAACCTGAAATTTAGATAAAAGTGTAGAGACACTCTTATATGACTGTCATAATTGTTAAACAAGCTCTTATATGATTAAGGCTTATTTGGATTCATATAGATAAATTGGATAGAATTGGTTTGAACTCGAGAGAGGTAAATAAATTAGTTTTAAAAATTTTGTTCTTGTATACAAAATCAATTGATATAGAAATTTGGTGATTGAGATAATAGGGATAGATATGGTGAACCTGTGAATCTTAACACTCAATCAAATAGAAGTTATGAATAGTTCTGGTATGAATGAGGACTTCTAACTATTTCTTTAGTTGATTTCTACAGTAAATATTCTCTTCCAGCATTATTATTAATTTTCCTAGTTTAGACACTTAATTAGGAAAAATAAAACTCAGAACCCTAATTTTAATTGTGCGTGTTTTCCTGAAGTGCGTTTTAATTCAATTCAGTTAATAATCAATCCTTGTAAGATGATAAAATATCAAGAAGTTTTGTCGCCATTGGGGATTGACTCATTTGATAATTACTTATTTTTCTTTTGCAGCTAATCTAATCATTTTTCTTGCATGAGGTTGACATACGAAAAGTTGGTACAATAAGTGATTTAATGCGACACATTTTTAAAATTTGTTGCAAAAATTGTGATGAAAAAAATAAGTACCAAAAAATATAAGGCGGCATAAAAAGTTGTCGTGAAATGTGAGAATTCGCGACAAATAATGAAGAATGTCGCCAAAAATATGAGGAAAGAAAAGCGCCAAAATATTTTTGGTGGGAAACTTATGGCGACAAACTTTCATTTTTTGCAACGAAGTGTTTGTGATGCAATAGGATCT